AGGGGATCAGACTCTCTCTCCCCCCCTCTCTCTCCCCCTCTCTCTCTCGGGGGTGGATGAGGGGCTCAGATTCCCTTCTCCAGCCTTGGGCAAGCCACTATCTGTGGGATTTCCGTGTGTAGGCGGGAGGCGTGGAATTCTCAGTTAGGTTCAGGCACTCTCAAGAGCGGTGATGGGCTTACGCGTGTATCAGACACCCTCGGGCTGACCCAAAAAAATCATTCCAGGAACACGAGAGGGAGAGAGAGAGAGAGAGAGAGAGAGTGAGCCGGGAGCAAGGAGTCTCTCACAGACACAATGGGGATCAGTTAGTGGCTGAGATAACAGAGAGGCGGGGGGGCAGCCGTTTGAGGCAACTTCCACTGGATGAAGAGTTTACCCCAAATGGCCTATGTGTCTCGGTCGCAGTCCTTCCCCCTTCCCAGCCCCTGATCCCCGCCACACATGCCTGCACGGGGCTCCATGTGTTGGGAGTGCAGAGCCAGCTGGCTGGGAGCTCTCAAACTCCTCATAAACATCCAAAAAAGCTCTCAACCCCCAGCTCGCAAAATACCAGATCACTCTGTTTGTGTGTATGTGTGTCGGAGTCTCAAGGGCTCAGGCACAAAGCCCTGGAGCGCGCACCAAATACATCCTCCTTCAAACCCGGCTCGGTCTCTCACTGCTTAACCGTTTGGTAGGTTGTCGGCCAATTAGTCTTGGATTCTCTGTCTCATCGGTGAGAGGAGTACTCGCCAGGAAGGCTGAGGGTTAATGGTCTCCTGGACTCGTTCACATCTGTATCTATTCCTCTGGTAGGAGAGAGGGAAAGGGGGGTAAACAGCACACTCTATGCCTTGTGAAATAGATGCCAAATTCAGAACAAACCTTCACATCACAGAGCGACCCAATAAAGGGTTCCATTAGCTCTAATGGTCCGCTTAACCTTCCAGGAACCTCAGAGCCATAAACATAAAGAGAACTGTGCTTGGCTCCAGGAAATAACATACTGTAATGTGGAACCGCCGCCAGAGGAGAGGTGAACACAGCAGATAGACAGTGCAACCAGCCCGGTACTAACGCTCATGACAACAAGCAGCCGTTACTCCTCGCTCTTCTTCTCCCATCCCCTCCCCCTTCTCTCTCCCCCGCCCCACCTCAACAGGCTTTGAGGGGAACCAGCCACAGATGCTTGGAATATTTCATTCCATTCGAACCAGATTTCCGCAATTAACGATCACAGGTTTTACCAGACTTTTAGGTTGAGGTGATGATCTGTGATGTGGCTCTACCAGAGCCAAACCCTGCACCAGATTGTGCTCTCTCTCTCTCTTTCTCGCTCTCTTTCTCACTCTCTCTTGCTCGATCTCTCTCTCTCTCGCTGTCTATTTTCTTTATTATCAATATTAACTCTGACATTTAGAAACCATTCATTCTTAGACTCGTTACATAATCAAACACTGACCGGAAACATCTAAAAACATGTGTTACTGGAGAAAGGAAACTTAAGTCCAAATGTCACACACGCACACACATACACTCCGGCCTTGTTTAAACTGTTGTTGACTTGCGGCACATGTTTAATGTGTCCTGAGCAGCTCTGTTTAAGCACAGCCAATAAACGGCCATTTATATCTTTGGAAAGTATTGAAACCAGACCCGCGCTCACCTCGGGCCTTGTTATGTTAACGGCTTTAACTACCTGGGAAAACTTGTCAGTTACAGTAATAATAAGCCTCAGGTTTCAGACAGTGCCCACTCACTTCCTCGAGCCGTCTCAAAGCCATTCCCAGCATTTCCGTGCAGTGACCGAGTGTTTTGTGGGTGAGCGAAAGCGGCAGCTGGTTTGCCACAGCGCACAAGTACCCACAAACAGCAGTGAAGTGAATGATCAATTGTATCTGGGGATTAGATTGTGGGTTCAAGCCCCACGTGGGAGACTTTGAGATCACAGTCCAGGCTTTACCCCCAGAAAAGTGATCCGCCAATCAACTAACAAGTGGGTTCCTACTTGCTGCTGGGTAAACAGAGGCGTGTGTGTGGAGTAAGGAAACTTACCTAACATTTCACCCTGCCCGGGAATCAAATCCATCGAGTGCTTTAATCACAAAGCTACAGGACACATATATTCTGTGAAGCGCTGTGAGACGTCTCAATGATGTGATAAGGCGCCATATCAAATGCAATGATTATTATTATTATTATTATTAAGTGCCCAATTGGGCGTGAAATTTGTGGGGTTTTGAAAGCTATTGTCAGGGTGGAGTGTGACAGATTTCGATCCGCTGCTGCTTCTCTGCTGTCTCTGGGTGTGACTGTGTGTGACGAGGTTTATATCCTGTGAAATGAAGAAGGTGTTAGTGAGAGGACGTGCTAGACTGACTCACTGTTTGCTCTTCAGCAGATACGCTCTGCCCACTGTGGACAGGCCCTCGACCGGCTGAATACATAACAGGAACGTTTCACAGCTGCCTCACACACAGAGCTTCAGGATTCACTGTACACCTCAGGTACCGTGACTCTGACCACAGAACTGGAGACAAACACACGCCACACACAGACACTCGCATTCAGACTAATTCATGCTCCTTTCTCATTATTAACAGTAAGTATCTTTGCGTTTGATATAGCGCCTTTCACGCCGGGAAGACATCTCAAAACGCTTCACGGGGTTTCACTGTAAAGTGTAGTGATGGTCAATATGGTGGTGGGGGTCGGATGTGGGGTTTGGGATATGGCGGGAGAAACAAGGCAGGAATTCCGACAGCTGTTTCCAACAGACTGAAGTAGGAGGTGCTGGCATTACGAAGACTAACGTTTATCATTGATTTAATAATCCTCTTTAATCCTTCAAGTACTGAATGTCCTTCAGAGCTTTCAAACCCACTGACGGTCTGATTCTGAAAACAAAACGTCAAAATGATTGTTTAACTGTAAGTTCAATAAAGCACCTTTATTACTAACTTGTCAAAACAAGGGTTACAGTTCAAAATTCCAAAATAACTTCCAGATCGTATATAATATTTGAAGTTCTCAGTGAAAAGCAATAAACACCAGGGAGGGGGAAAAACGTGTTCAAGTGAGTGTCAGGAATTATTGTTGCCAGTTCTTAATAAAGATGTGTTTCTCGTTTGCTGCAGTGTGTGAGAGTGACAGAGAGTCTGTGCGAGTGAGAGTCTGTGTGCGAGTGTGTGTGCGCACGAGTGAGTGCGAGAGTCTGTGTGCGAGAGTGTGTGTGCGCACGAGTGAGTGCGAGAGTCTGTGTGCGAGAGTGTGTGTGTGTGCGCGCGAGTTAGTGCGAATGAGTCTGTGTGCGAGAGTGAGTGTTTGTGAGTGTGTGTGAGTGAGTGTGTGTTCGAGTAAGAGTGTGTGTGTGTGAGAGTGACAGTGAGTGTGTGACAGAGAGTGTGTGTGAAAGTGGCAGTGTGCGCGCGCATGTGTATCTGTTCAGCTGAGTATGTGTCTGAGTGCGTGTGTGTCCAATGTGTGAGGACTTTGCTGTGCAAATTGACTACCGCGTTTGTCTACAAAAACAGTCACTACACTTTACAGTAAAACCTGTGAAACGCTTTAAGATGTCCTCCCGGCCGGAAAGGCGCTTTTTCAAATGCAATGATTATTGCTGTTGCTAATAATAATAAAGAGCCTGAAAAAGGTCCTGTGTTTGCCTGGGGAGCCAGTGGCATTCTGGAGTAACTATGGTGATGGTGTACAGCGTGAGTGAGTGGGTGAGTGAATGAGCTGGAGAGTGAGTGAAGTATGACTTCAAGGCCACGTGTCTGTGTGTTATTATAACTTATTGTTATTTGTGACCCTCTGAAGCAAGTCTGGATAAGGGATGTATTAAGAGGGACGAGATGTGTGTGTGTGGGGAGGAGAGAGAGCAGATGAAGATATAAGCGAGGCGTTACAGGAGAATAAGAGTGTTGAGGAGTGCAGTCAGTGAGCATACCATAGCCTGGCTCGCTTCCCAGAACGGGTAACCGTAAATCACTGCTCCGAGCCAGTGAAGTACCTCCGAGAAAGACATTTTTATAGCTCCTTGTCATTGATCAACGTTAATATTCCCATCTCAGTCTTCTCCAGCGTCCAAGAACACACAATATTTAAGGCACCCAGAGAGAGAGAGAGAGAGAGAGAGAGAGAAAAAGAGAGCATTTTTCTTTGCCATGAAAAATACAAACTGCCTCCAACACACATATTTTTGGCAGCAACAGAGAGAGGGGAAAAATGTGAAAAGAGTTCTGTGCAAACATGTAGCTGTGGGGAGGTGCACAGACTTTAACTTAAGATAGGAGGGTGGGAGGGGAGGGAAGTCTTCCCGATCAGTCCTAATTTAAAGGTGTTTTTTTTTTGAGATTCCTCAAAACACTGACTCCCCCTCAAAAAAAATGATTAATTGCTTGATCTGGAATATTAAGACAAGTTGGCCCCACAGGCTGAGACGAGGAATCAGCACAGCAGTCACAAACTTTGAAAAGGCAGTGTAAAACTTTTAAGTTAAACTTAAAACGATTCTCTAACAAGCGGAACAGACACTCACAAATACAGACCATACAGACGCTCGGAGGTTTCTCATCTCCCCGTTTAAAACAAAGTTCCGCAACATGACACCCAAACCCGAACATGGGGACACACAGCCACGAGTGCATGTTGGACGGACACTGAACGGCCACGCATGCACATTCGACACATACCCACACACACCGATGTGAGTGCCGCCTCTTGGCAGTGGCGGGCTCTGACTCGTCCTGGGAGTCTCCGCAGGACACACAGTCATTGCACCTAACAGTAAAAGCCTGTGAAGCGCTTCGAGGCGTGATCACTGACGAGCAAGGCTCTGGTTCAACTACAACAACTTGCAGTTATACAACAACAACAACATTATTACATTTGTCTTTCACGTCGGGAGGACGTCCCAAGGCGCTTATACACATATTTAAATCCCGGGAGCTGAGGAGCTGTTCAGATTGGTTGAGATTTGTGTGTGTGGAGGGATTGGGGGGGGGGTGTGGAGGGGATTGAGGTGTGTAAACAACCCCCACCCTCACCACCATCAAAGTGGTTCAGAAACAGCCGGGAGGAAACAGGCTTTCCCGGGATTATTCACAGGCAGAGTCCCCTCTTCCAGAGAGGGTGGGTGAGGGGGGCATTAATCAGCCAAGTGCTCAGAGACGGTGTTTTCCTCAGCCCCCGACCCCTCACCCCCTGACGTTGACTGGCTTCAGTCGTGATGTAGCCTCACTGGAGGCCCAGAGCTTGGCTGAGCTGGAGATGGTGGGTGTTGACATGCAGCGCGGTGCGGGGGCTCAGGCACCTGAACAAAGCCTGGAAGTCCCAGATCCGTTTCAGTCGCTCGGTTGCGACCCTCGTCTCCGAGAGCCCCAGCTCCAGGACCCCCACCTGCAGGCCCCCCAGCGGGGAATGGCCTGACCTCAGAGCCAGGGCTGGGGGAGCTGGCCAGGGAGAGAGCCTGTTGGGAGACACACATAGAAACCATCAGACTTTTTAATACAGCAAAAATGTCACCCCAACTCTCCCCGGCCCGGCCCAGCTGTCTCCTGCCCCTGATTGCTATCCCCTAGAGCTCTCTAACTCTAACCCCATTCCCTACGCTCTCTCCCCCCCCACCCCCATCTGCTGGTCTCGGACATGGTGCCTGTCACCACGTTTTAAAAGGAACGGAAACATCTAATTGTACGATTAACCCCAAATGTCTGTCAGGAGATGAAACAAAACAGCACATTGGCTGCGAGAGACACATGGCACCTGAGTCACTGACCTGCCTGTGCCCATCCTCTGCCAGCCTGTGTTGAGCGTTGCCACATTCCATGCACCAGGGCTGTGGTTGTGTCAGACACGTGTAGGCCGGGGGCCTTTGGCAAGGCGTGCGTTCCCCCGCGGGGGGTCTCGGGAGCCAATGGCTGCCCTCAGCTCCCTGCTGACCCGCCGTGCCCCCCTCCCCCAACCAGCAGTCCGTCACATCCAGCTCGGTGCACTCCACCGGCACGTGGCGAGCTTGCTGCCAGGCAGAGGCGCAGTGCGTTGAGGTGGGGGCCTCCTCCGCCAGCATCGTCACCCCTGCCAAGGCTCCAGTCCCCCCTCCCTCTCCGCAGCTCCTTGGGGCTGTGTCTATCCCTCGGCCAAGGGTCCCGGTCACAGTCTGCGCTTCACAGGAACTGTAGAGGCAGGATTGGCAGGTCAACAACACTGACTGCACAAAACCCTAAACACAACCAGATTTAATGCTGTAATATCTGTGGGGTTGACTGGTCCCCCCGATCCCTCCCTCCCTCCCTCGCTCGGTGGCTGTGGTGATGGCGGTGAAGCCGGTTACCTGGCTCCTTGGTGCCGGCAGGAGAAGGCGGTGACGCAGGTCTGGAGTGAACGGGGCCCATTGTCGTTCGCCTGGTAAACCACGTCCATCTGGCCTGAGGGGGTGAGGAGACGGGTCACTCAGTACTGGGGGTTGGGGACTGGGCAAATCAATCAGTCTCCTGCCCCTGATTGCTGTCCGGAGACCTTCCCCCCACACCCACCCCACCCGGTGGTTAGTTGATTGGCGGATCGCTTTCTGCAGAGTAATAATCCCTCCCCAAAAAATACTGCTGTGCGCAATTGGCTGCTGCGTTTCGCCCACAAAGTACACAGTCACTACATTTTACAGCATATCCTTTTGAGTCGTCTCGGTGACTTGCTAAGGGCCTGACCCCAAACACAAGGATTATTAATAATAATAATAATATTAAAATCATAAGGTAAAGGCAAGTGTGGGTGACTGTCAGACCAGGACAAGGCCAGGTTTGGTGGTGATGCCCCTTACAATCTATGGGGTTAGGGATACGCTGTGTCTCACCGAGTCTCTTAGCCATGGTGAGCACTGGGATGGTGCCAGGGAGTGGCTCTGTGCCGGGCTTCAGTAGCTTATCCGTACACATGTCACCCGTCTGCCCATCAGACGAGGAGGAGGATTCCACGCCCCTCGGCTGCCCTGCTGGGAGAAGCACGGATCAGATCAGAACAGATAATTATCATCGTCACATCGCCGAATGCGATAAGGGGTTGAGGAAGGTCAGGGAAAGGCCGACACCGGGTGAGCGATTCACCCGGAGGACTGTCGGCCAGGACACGGGGAGAGAGAGAGAGAGACTCCCATAGTGCTGCGGGATCCTTAACATCCACCTGAACTGGGCAGGCGGGAGCTCCAACAATACAGCGATTCCCCTCAACCCCTTATCACACCCTCTCTCTACCTCTCCTTGACCACCCCGTCACCGTGTCACCAAGCCACTGGACACAAAGCAACCGGTCACCAGCGCCCCGTCCCCCATCACCCCATCACCCCGCAGCCCTATTACCGATCAGCTTCTCCGCGAGTAGCCGTCTGCAGTGGATGAAGCCGAGGATCAGCAAAGCTAACAGGACAGTGACCAGGGACCCGCACATCACAGCCACCAGCGTGCCCCGAGCTGGCGAGGCCGCAGGGCTCTGCTTGCCTGTGTCCACCCCACGGTTACCTGTTCACACCACAAAGAGAGGGAGAGGATACAGTTCAGTGTGTGAGGAGCTGATGAGGCGGAGACTACAGCATCATTCAGAGGGGAATTATAGCAATAATAATAATAAATAAATAAAGCAATAATAACAATAATAATCGTCGCATTTGACATCACGCCTTTCACGTCAGGAGGAGATTTGGTGCGATAATTATCACCGGGATAATCGTCACATCACCAAATCAGCATCTGAACAGGTTTGGCAGGTGAGAATCACTCTCTTCGCTCCCTCAATCCTCTTCCCCCCTCCCCACCCCCCCATCCTCTCACCCACACTCAGACGCCTAACCCTGGCCAGCAAACCCCCTAATAAAATCCGTCACTCAATCCACGACTGTTTGTTGGATACCTCTGTGCGCAATTGGCTGCTGAGTTTCGCCCACAATCACTGCACTTCACAGTGTATCCTGCGAAGCGCTCTGAGACGTTTCAATAACCCGATAGAGCACTGTATCAAATGCAAGGATTACTATTAACACCTCACCCCCCCACCCCCACACACAATGCCCCCCCCCACACACACAATGCCCCCCCCCCCCACCCCCACTCCCTGCAGCAGTGCTAGCGAGTGCCCCAGTGACACGGTGATATAAGGAGCAGCTCGACGTACACTGGGGTTGACCGGGGTCATTACCCGCGCAGCGACTGCACGCCATGTCCTGGAGCCCTCCCAGCCGGGGTTTGCTGTAGAATCTGCAATGAAGAGATGACAGTGTGTATTACACCTCCAGCTCAGCGCGAGTTGTGGCCACAGCACCAGATCTTTCCCTTTCCACCTCATCCCTGTGGAGTCCTGTAGCTCAGTGGTTGAGCACTCGCTTTGCGAGCGAGAGACCTGAGTTCAATTCCAGGCAGAGGGCGAAACCTTGGGCAAGTTTCCTTACTCCACACAGAGCCTAATAATAATCCCTCCAAAACCAAAAACAATAATAAATTGGTCATTTTCAATCTACGACTGTTTGTGGGACATTGCTGTGCGCAATTGGCTGCCGCGTTCGCCCACAAATATACAGTCAATTCACTTTACAGTGTGTTCTGTGAAGCGCTTTGGGACGTCCTCCCGACGTGAAAAGCGCTATATCAAATGCAAGGATTATTATTATATTATTATTATTATTATTCCTCATTCCCTCTGCTCGTACTCCCCACCTGTCACACTCTCTACAGCTCCATCCTCCTGCATTTTTCCCTTCCCCCCTTCCTCAGTCTTCCCTCCCTCTCCACCTCCCTTCTTCCGCTCCACAGGCCCTCCCGACCCAAGCCTCACTCACCTGTGTGTGACTCAGACACCAGGAGAGAAACTCCCTTCTCTTTTCCCAACAGCGCAACCAATTCCTACCTAACGTCCATTAGAACAGGGCACAACCGGGAGCTCAGTTTAACATCTCAACTGAAGGGGACAGAGCCCCTGACAATGCCGCACACCCACCCAGAGCCCCCCCCCACCCCCCACATCCCCAGAGCTTTGCACTTACCCCACCAAACAATCGCCACACACAGAATTGCTGAGTGCGGTGCAGTTGGATTTCTGCAGCCGATTGAACAGCGAGCAGGACAGGCATCGCTTGCACTTGCCAAACCCCCAGGTCTCCTTGTACCTGTTGTGTCCACACCTCACGCACTGCCCGTCCCCACCGGTTCCGAACCCACAGTCCTGCAGAGAGAGAGAGAGTGAGCCAGTTAGCACTCACACCACTGGGGAGGGGAGTCTTGCCTATGGACGGGGATGGAGTGGGGGGATGGGGAGAGCATGGTGGGGGTTGGGTAAGCATTTCCGCACAGCGACCGCAAGCCTGGGATGCGGAGGACAGCACACGGGTGGCCACGGCTAGAAGGAAAGTCACATCGTGTCACGGCGAATAGTCGCAAACATAGCGACTGCTTACGTGAGAAAACAAGGCAGATACTTTGGACTGAGACACAATATACATTCAGATCCACCAAGGCAGCGGGAGAGAGGGCCAGGAAACAGCAGGGCACTGGGAGGGAGGGGAGATGGGAGGGAGGGCAGGGGATCTAGATTGGATGAGACCAGATGGGCCAAAGAGCTTTCTTCACCCAAAGCTCTCACGGGATGTCTATGATCAGTGACCCCGTCGCTCCAGAGGACAGCTTGGCCAGTTGCTTGACTAAGGATTCCTCAGTCACTGCGTCAGCCACGGAGCAAGGCCATGAAATGCTGTCAGCTACACCACGTGCAGGTCCCCACCTGTGACAGCTCCAGGCCGGCTCCACACTCTTTACAAGCCACGCAGTTTCCACCTTCAGCCCAGTATTCATGCTCCTGGCAATCGTCCACAGTCATCACATCAACCAGCGGCTGGGGGGGAGGTTGCAAGCAAATTAACATGGCTCCTGCATGTCTAATAATACAGTAATTATCATAGTCCTCTCCTCCATACATCCCCTTTCACGGTGGGAGGATGGCGCAAAGTGCTTTGCACGCTTTTACTGTGAAGCGTAGTGACTGTGTGTTTTCCATGTCAAAGGAGGTCACGACACAGAATCAATAGGTAACATTCGGCCTGCTCCCCCCGACATTTCCTTCTGGACAACATTGTTGCCCACTTTCTCCTGGTTTAAACTTCAACACATCACAAACCACCTCCTGCCTTTCATCACCTTATTGCTGCCTTCAGAATGCTGGACACACAGTGTAGAGGGCTTTACTGTGTCTCTAACCCTGACCTGGGAGTGTGGACACACAGTGTAGAGAGCTTTACTGTGTCTCTAACCCTGACCTGGGAGTGTGGACGCACAGTGTAGAGAGCTTTACTGTGTCTCTAACCCTGACCTGGGAGTGTGGACACACAGTGTAGAGAGCTTTACTGTGTCTCTAACCCTGACCTGGGAGTGTGGACGCACAGTGTAGAGGAGCGTTACTGTGTCTCTAACCCTGACCTGGGAGTGTGGGCGCACAGTGTAGAGGGAGCGTTACTGTGTCTCTAACCCTGACCTGGGAGTGTGGGCGCACAGTGTAGAGAGAGCACCAATACATACCCAAGTAAAGAACAGGAGAAATCCCGGATTGAGTCCCATCTCCACTAGTGCTTCCGGACATACAGTAACTGATCAGAATTTTTAGTCTGTAACAAGAAGATGGGTTACCAGGGCCGGTTGGACAGTGGATGAGGATAATGGACGAGTCAATGCCATTGGCTGATGGGGAGTGTTCACCTCAGGTTTGATTACTTCCCATGAACACAGCTGAGCTCACTCTGTCCCTAAACATGAGGGAAGGAGGTGGGGGGGAGTTGGGAAGGTTGGGGGGGGGAGTTGGGAAGGTTGGGGGGGATGAGGGAGGGAACAATAAATAAAACCTAATCAAAATATTTAAAAACCTGAAACTTGTTGGGGTGGGGGTGTAAAATGGGGGTAATTGTAGATCGGAGCTATCAGCTTCTCTGGAGCAACTGTCCCGTCTCCATCAACACAGTGAGCAGGTGCCGAAGACTTGCACAAGAGAGGTAATAAAATAATAATAATAATAATAATAATCCTAGCATTTGATGCAGCATCTTATCCCATCTTGGAGATTTATCAAAGCGCTTCACCGAATACGCTGTAAAGTGAATTGACTGTATATTTTGTGGGCAAAACGCAGCAGCTAATTGCGCACAGCAGCGCCCCACAAACAGTCATGGATTGAGTGACCACATTATTATTATTTTCTTCAATTTTTCTTTTTTTTTTAAAAAGGGATTTTATCCCCGGAAAAGCAATCTGCCAATCGACTAACAACTGGGTTCCTACTCACCGCTGGTAAACAGAGGCGTGTGGAGTAAAGAAACTTGCCCTGCCCGGGAATCGAACCCAGGTCCTCTCGCTTGCAAGATGAGTGCTCTAACCACTTCGCTACAGGACTCCACAGGTAAAGTAAAGCCTTGGTTAGTTTAGTGAAAGTGGATCAATTAAAAGTTGTACCGAGCAGCAAGCAAGTTCCTCTGCATTTGTGACTTTAGTCAGTTCCTCCCTCCCCTCCCCTCACCTCTCCTCCTCTCTCTCTCTCTCTGCAATTAAACAGCGCTTGTGTTTATACAGTTTAACGTTTCGTCCACAAAATACACAGTCGATCACTCCACTTTACCCTGAATGCTGTGCAGCGCTTTGAGACGTCTCAACCATGTGATAAGGCGCTACATCCAATGCAAGGATTATTTATAATAATTATTAATATAACTTATTCTCTCGAAATATGAACATTTCCTTCGGACGCCGCCTCAGTAAAATCAGTGGCCTTCAGATCTTTGCATAGAGATAAATATATGTAAGATTATTGAGAGAGGGAGAGAGAGAGCAATACTAACGGCTGTAATGCTCACACTGCCCTCTCCCTATTATAACACTGACAACATGTCCTGACTTGTCTGTGACTTGACTCGAGGGAAACCAAATTCAGACGGACAAAAACTATCTACTTTCTCTCTCTTTCTCTATTTCTATATAAACACTGAGTTAACAGGACATTATTGACAACACAATTATTCCAAACCAACTGACACAAACTTCTCTGCTGAGGTTTATAATAATATAACCCTTCAGAATCTTTGCGGTTTTAACGGTATAAATTGTCTTCAGCAGCTCCTGGGTGTAAATTAATTGCAAATTATTGTTTTTGGTACCAGCGGAACGTGTTCTATGTTTTATAAACTTAAAACAAAACAAATTCTAGAGTATTAAAAGCAAATAAATAACTTTTGAGGGTGTTTTCTTCTGATCAGACAATTTAGTTGTGAAAACTTTTCTCCTGCTTTCCTGTTTATTGACATAATAATAATAATAATAGCACGTGCCGCCCAGACAAACTTACTGTTATTGATCAACAATAACAGCAACAATAATAATAATACAAAAGTTTCATTTGGAATGGTTCAGTAAAGGTTTTGCTCTGCATAAATCTGTAACTTTTCAAACCCATATTTAATAACACGCTGTGAATCTCTCTCTCTCTCTCTCTCTCTGTTTTGTTACCTTCCTCCTAAGTGTTTCACGTATTTTTCTTTCATTCATTCCATTTCATTCATTCGTTGTTTGGGTGGTTTCTGTGGAAGCAGTAAGTCTGCACCACTCTCCTGGTCCTCTCCAAACTTTGTCTCCCTCTCTCTTTGCAGGAAATCTCCGCCTTTTTGCCTATTGATTGGTCCTGATACCAATTTAACCCTTTCATGTACATCAACATCATCATAATCCTGGCATTTGACACCGCGCCTTATCATTGCCTTCGAGACGTCTCAAAGCGCTTCACAATATATGCTGTAAAGTGTAGTGGCTGTGTATTTTGTGGGCGAAACGCGTCAGCCAATTGGGCACAGCGACGGCCCCACAAACAGTCGTGGATTGACAGTCGCCTATTTCTGTAAATTCTATTTCCTGAACTTAATCTCCGTAGTTCTTTTCTGTTTAATTCTGTATGTACCTCAGGCAGATCACAACACTTTATTTACCCTATTATTAATAAAATAACAACAATTACTTTTACACAACGAAATGTCTCAGAACTCTTCACAGAGCTTTTCCCTGAAGTGTAGTGACTGTGTTTTGCAGGCAGCCTAAATCAACACAGCGGCCAATTTACGCACAGTCATGAACAGCCAATGTAATGAAAGGCCAATTTTGATTTGTATATCTGGGGAAATGAGATTAGTTACTTGGCGGAGGAATTGATGGAGGGAATGTGAGAGGTGAGGCAGAGAGACTTTGTCTCCCAGGCTGGCCAGAGGGAGCACATTGCTGTTGCCTCTCCTGTTGGTCCCCGTGTTCCTACATAACAATATTGGAATAAACACTAGGATCCAAATCCCAAGACGATCAGAAGTTTCCTAGTACAGTGTGCCCTGGCTTCCAACATTTTCCTACAAATTCCTGAAGGCTGCTCTCTCAGGTTTTCCCCTCTGGCAGTCTCCTATGCAGGATTCTAAGTGGAAACACATTCACTCTCCGAAAAACATGGGACTGAACTAACAAATCCCTCCAGTAACAGGTTTCTTGGGCTCGGTACTGTACTGTACCACACAAAGCCTCAGCCCAGCCATGCCATGTTTGTGTTGGGCCAAGCTATAAGGTGGCTGTGGTTAGCTGAGCTCCCTTTTTCCTTGGTTGAGGAGATGGAGGCCATCGCCATGGGAAGGGGGCACTGTGTGGGGTGGGGGGCTGTGGGTTGTGTGAGGGTTGTTGGGGGTGGGGGAGTAGTTGACGTTGGAGAGGAGGCAGAGGTTGGCCGAGGCTGAGAAGTTCAGGTTTTGGTCAGCCAAGTGTCTGACACGCAGCATCCATCACCGTGTTTGAGAGCATCCAGACCAGTCTGATAGTCCCACACATGTATGTCACCCATACATGGAAATCCATGTTTGCAATGGAATGCGCTCTCTCTCTCTTCCTGCTTGGAGAGACGCCCCCTGCTTACCTAAGTTAGGAGAGTATTAGGCGCAGGTTGGCAGAAGCCAAGGCTTGGGGAGACGCCAGAGTGTGCGTTGGGGTAACTGCTGGAGTCTAACCAGCTAAACCCATGCATAGCTTGTCATTAATATCACTGTCTGGCCAGTTTTCCCACTGCTTGTCCAGCTAGGACCACCTTCCCCGTTAGTTAGGGCTTTGGCTGCAGGGTTAACAGGAGCTGAGGGGGACCCGAGTCAGTGACTGGTCGGCCCTTCCAGGTCCTGCTGATGAGCCGGGCCGGGCTGTGCTGCCATCAATAGCGAGTGCCCTGGAATACTGCAGACCCCCCTGGCTCAGGCACCAGCCTACTGAGAGAGAGCGAGAGAGAGCGGGAGAGAGGCTGCCATAGAGGGTGATGGACTGGTTTAACATTCAGGTCAGCAGGAGGCTTTCTCACACTTTCTCATTTTTCTTCCCATTTCCAACTTGGCCACAACTTCACAATCCCCACAACTTTCTCACCCAAAGAATCCCTGGAAACGCACCCCTCGGGCCACTTAACCAAGTGAGCAGAGGCTGGCAAGGGCCGGCCGGTGTGTCAGGGGCTCTGAACCCAAACGGCTGTGGTGACATTGCCGTGATGAAATCTGGGGAAGACTTCACGGGTCACTTTGCTGGGTCTGAGTAGCTGTGTAACTCTTCAGCTGGGTTCCACACGCTGCACTTTACAGGGAGTTGTACTGTGACACACAGTGCCTTTCAACAACAACTTGCATTTACACAGCGCCCCCTCACGCAGGGGAGCGTCCCAGAGCGCTCGACAGTGGCGGAGCCTGACCCTGAGCCAGGGGGTGGGGGTGGGGGTGTGACCATAGGCACTGGTCGAAGAGGAGGATCTTCATCAATGCTGAAGCGAGGGCTGACGCAATTATTTCAGAGACAGAGGGTGAGGGTGTTGGAGACATGACGGGATCGGTGGGCAGACCTGCACAGTTGCTCCACTTTACTGGCATGAGCGGCTGCATAATAACGCTCCACTGCTCGGTGAAGTTTGCTGTGATAAATCGGCAAGTCTTATTAAGCAAACAGAAATCTGATTTATTAAGAACCGATGTTGGATTTTGCTGACTCGGGTCCCGCGAGGAACTCGGGCTGAATGGAACTCATAAGCTATTTCTCTGCTTCAATCTGTACCATAGACATGGCCACCGGCCAAACTGCTTGCACCAGGCAACCGCGGCCCGAACATCTTCACAAGAGCAAAGGGAAGCGAAGGAACACCTCTTACATTTCCACAGCGATCCACCAGTCGACTAACAACCGGGTTCCTACTCACTGCCGGTAAACAGAGGCGTGTGTGTGTGTGTGTGTGTGTGGAGTAAGGAAACTTGCCCAAGGTTTCAGCCCACCCGGAAATCAAACACTGGTCCTTTCGCTTGCGAGGCGGGCATGCTATCCACTGAGATACAGGACTCCACATGACCCCCAGTAACCTCTGCACACCTCGCTAGCCGTGACATGACATGAACTAGTGAAATGTAGGGAACATATGGCCTCCCCATGTCTGGCCAGCACTTTGAGGTCTGGTCAACAGCCACATCCTGCTCCCCTCTTGTGCCGACTCACAGTGAAGCTGGCATTGGTCTAATTCCGTTAGCGTGGTGCGGGGCCCAAAATTCCCCCCTGGTCCCGACCTCCGACACCATTCCTCCTTCAGATTTAAGACGTCTCGGAATTGCGGAAAATTCTGATTTGCGGTCTCGACTTAGAAGCTGCTTTTCTCAGTTTCCTTGAAAAACCAGATGGCTTCCAAACAAGGACTGGGATTAAGAAGATTTTCCACAATTCCGTGCCATCCTCACTTTTAAAACCAAACGGTGACCGTGTGTTTTGTGGGCGGACGCGGCAGCCAATTTTGCGCACAGCGACAACCCGCAAACAGCCATGATTTTATCTGGGGGTTTGTCAGCCGGGGCACAGAGAGAGAGAAACTCCTCTCTCTTCGCGCGTCGCCCCGTGGGAGATCTTTAAAGTCCTCCTGAACAAGGGGAGGTGGGTTAAACGTCTCATCCCAAGGGTGGCGTCTCTGACAGTGCAGCGCTCTTTCCCTCGCACCCCCCCACTGTTACCCCCACCCAGCACTGCACTGGACTGTCAGCCTAGATTATTGTGTGTGTGTGTAAGTTTGTGATGACAGTTTGGTGTTATTGTGTTATGCCGTCTCACACAGTATATTCTGTACAATGCGTTCCTCCATTCCCCCGGTAAGCACTGCTCCCTGTGAGGCTCAACACGATTCTGACTGATAAAGCTCGCTGATGCAGTCTTACATATTAATGGACGTGACGGGTATTTCTAAACGCAGAATGTTTTGTTAAATAATCTGCTCGAGGGAGCTGAGCGCTGAAGGGAATTTGTGAGGAGCTTTCCGTCTTCATGAGGAAGAGAAATGTTCAGGAGACTTGCCAGTGGTTTGAGATGTTAGGCACCAGAACAATTCCAGTGTAAATTGGCAACGTTCGGCTCATTGACCCCCTCATCTGCCTGTTACTCAGCCTTTGGCCACTGGTTCACAGCAACGTGTCCTATTCCTTCAACCATAGTTGTCACGTAGTGCAGGCTGACTCTCCATTGGCATTGTCGGGGGTGTGAGGGGCAGGCAGAGGGGAGAAGGGGGCGCCATCCTTTGGATGAGACGTTGAACCATCTGTTCCCTGTTCAGGCGGATGTTAAACGTTCAGCAATGCTGGGGAGGGCAACTAGCTGTACGTTAAGCCACACACCCAGCCTGTGACCACCAACGCCACCCCCCACCCCACCCCACAACCCACACCTTCAAAATGAGAGCCCTCCTTCCGCTCACTGCTCAAGAACATTTCTGCCATTTCTGCTCCCCTCCCAACCTCACTGTGACCTTGTGGAGTAGACTGTGTCAGTGTGGATACACACACTGTGGGCTGGTGCCCATTGGATACTGGAGACATGCTCAAGCATTTCACAGCTGTGCGATCGAGAGAGAAAGAGAAGCATTTATTCCTGTTCGGCCAAGTCGGATCAGAATCCGAGTCCCAGAGGTACAAGTTGGATTGGGAACTCCCTGTACTGTCCACTGACACCATCTTCCCCCCATCCCACCCCCCCACCCCGATGGTGAGACCTGATCTCAGGAAGCTCTGGGGAATGTGCCTGTCAAATGCTGATGTCAGATCCGCTGACAGTGTCCGGCTGAGGATCCAAGATCCAATTCCCAATTGGATTCACCCAACCTGGACTCAACCAGCTGAGCCTGTCTGCACCGCACACCAGCCCAGAACATTGGCTGTGTTCTGGGTGGGGGCGTCAGGGAGTGAGGACTGTAATCACTGTGGGTGTCCACAGGGCTCCAAGACGCTCTCCTGTGCATAAGGATAAAAATATATAAATGCCGTTGGTTGTCAAATATGTGCAGTCCTGTAGCTCAGTGGATAGAGCTCTCGCCTCACAAACCAGAGGACCTGGGTTCGCAGGGCAACACCTTAGGCCGGTGTCCTTACTCCACACGCCTTTGTTTACCAAGTAGGAACCCGCTTGTTAGCCCCACACAAGCCCCCACCCCTCCCGTTCCCCTCACCTTCGCCCCCACGAGTCTCCTCGTTTGTAAATGCGGTCGTTTCTGTGTTATGATGTCGAATAGGGTTCAAAACCCAAGCTCTGTGTTTCTTTTAGCATAAGAGCAAAACATCCTTAACTG